GTCATTGCTTTATTACTACCGTAGTGCATGTACAATATGTACTTACACTAAGTTGGTATTATTTGAAGGATCCTATATGCAATAAGTACAATTGTATATTTACATATTTGTTTCTATTTGAGATGCACTTTTAGTAAAGAAAATATGAGACAGTGTACAAATGTATGTGTATCAAATGAATGCATTCCGTTTTACACAAATGTACAGTCTAATCTGGATTACTATAATCCCTTATTTAAAAAAAATATTCATCAAACCCTGTAACATATGGTAAACTATGTCCATTTCTAATAAAATATATCAAATAAATTATGGAAAAATGTATAAATAAGGTCAAAATAAATTATTAAAAAAATGTATAAATAAGGTCAAAATATTGGCTGGAAAAAATTATAGCTTATTGGATTATAAATTTTTGCAATCATTATCTGGAAGTTTTAATCCAAGCCACAGGAATTCTGATAATGAGGTTTGACTACAGAAACTGTTTAATTTTTGTTGCTAGGATTTTTCACAGTTCACTGACACACCGTGTTGATAGAACCCCAAAGAAATTTTCACAGCTATAAAATTTCACTAGTTTTGGTAAATTTTCAAAAAATTGGTCTCTCAAAATTAAAGTGGTGTAGTTATGACAACCATTTATCACATGTATAGCAAGCAGAGATTTAATTAACATGACCCTAGGTCGTTATTCAATTTATATCTTGTGACGCAAATATAAAATTCATATTTCTGTCAGCTTTATCACACTTGTCTGATACTTGCGAGCGGTAGATTTGCGTCTTGATTGTATTCCTGAAGCGACAAAATGTCATGCACACAATTGACTTGCAAAAGTAAGGTAAATTACGTGTCTGTTGCATTCTAAGTACCTCTTTTCAGATCATGTAGTCTAGGAGTGTACAATGTGTGTGTCGATCTAGAGGCTGTTTAATGATGCATACACCGCCATGACACGCTTTTTTATTTGATTTAGATTCACACAAGATAAATAGTATCTATGGTTACATAAACATCCGATGTCACCACTCTGATATTTCTGTATCACATCTTACATTGTACTTCAGCCCTGTATGGGGATCCGTTTTATGCTTGCGGATGAGGGGAATATATATGTCTGTCTTCACCATCATTGTTCATATTGTAAATACTTTTGTGCAGTTTCAATAGCTTGGCAAATTTTCAATTAACAAGTATTTTTGTGAATATTTTTTCCTCTTTTGGCTGGATCGGAGCTGGATTATATTTCTTGAGTGAAATACTTTACTTTGCTATGCAGCAATTTTAACATACCTCAGTAGTAAAACAAATTCATTCATTCAAATCTAATGCTACATGTTTACTGGTCTGGATATAATTTTTTCATAGTTTAGGAAAAATAAATTTGTTTCTCATATCAAAGGCTTTTTTAGCTCTGCTGTCGACTTTATCGAGTGGAGTAATCATACAAGTGATTGTATGACCATCTGTCATCTGAAATCCGATTGCTTTGATACTTGGTGTATATGTACCCTGGGTAGACCTCACTTAGATTTGTTTATTTCATGATGATATCTTTAAAGTGCGGTGGTCGTCGCACCACGTCCTGTTCGATATGGAACTCATAGCGACGTATACAATCCATGTAAAATATGTCATGTTTGGTCAAAAGTGATATTTTTTTCTTCTTGTTGAAAACCGCAAGCCCGATTGATTTGATATTATACATATAGTTACTACTAATTAGAAGACATGTACTTGTATGTTTTTTGTATTAAGACATAAAGTCACCTGTCAAAAGTATAAAATGCATACTTTGTTTCCATGCAATGTTATAACTTGTGCAAAAAAGCCATAGTTTGTTAAAACCTATTTTTGTAAAATAAACTTGATTTGATGACATCTATGGTTGTGAGACATTGAAAGATATGTGAATAAAAGACTAGTGAGTGGGTCCGAAGCGTTGTGGGAAGGTCTTACATATGATTGAGTCTGTATATGGATATATATTATGTTTGTACTGAAGTCTTGGAGACTGCAAATCAGTCCTGTCTATGTAGTTACATAGCGATTCATTCTTAGGTATTCTCTGGGACGGAACATGCGTTGTTTGTTGCTAAGACGCACACCACTTTACCATGTACATTGTACTTCTATGGACTCTACAATGTATGTGAGCTGATGTGGAATGCCAGTCAAAGAGCCAGTGAAAACAACTAAAGTTGAGGAAACAGCACAATTTTGAAATAGTCCTGAGTAACAAAATTGTTGTACATGTAGGGGTGATCTTGTTACAGTGTTCTCAACAACTATCCCAAAGTTCAGTTTTTTGAAAGATTTCAGCCTTTGTTTTCAACATGATGGTCGCAAAGGTGGTGAAAATGCATGCCCTCAAGAATATTCTGAGTGGCTGGATGCCAGGCTAGAAAAAAACCTGCGTATGAAGTTTTTTTCGATAATTTGGCAAATTTATCTCAAAATTACAAATAAAATAAGGAAAAATTAATTCAGAATATGCATTAAAATTTTGAGTGAAGATAATAATGTTCAAAAATTTTGAAAAAAAAAGATTTTGTAGTCTAAACTTTAGCTGCAGTTCTGTAGCTCGCTTGGTTTCGCTGTCGGTTATTTTGTTCGTCGTGGTGTTAACGCGAAACCAGGGAGCTACTGACAGTTCCATCCTATGCGAGTTACCATATTTTACCGACCTGAAATCAGGTCGGGTCGTAACAGCCGTTTTTTTTCATTATTTTCGCCTCAAGTTTCTACTTTTCTACTGTCGATGGGTCCCGAAACTATTTCATCAATTATTTTGAGGGCGATTGTCCGAAATTGGTCGAT